CAAGTGTGGCAACGTAGGAAAGTTTGATGGAAGAATTCCCGTCTACAGGTTTGTAAAAACTATTACTTATATCGTTTTGCCGAGTGTTAAGGCGCTAGTATCATAAGGAGGTCAGAAAAACGCTGTTGGTTAACAACAATGAGTTTGACTAAAGTTTTCTGCAAGTGAAAGCAGCTTGGAAAAGTGGAAACTATAAAAGGTGGTCTATCATGGGCTAAACAGCGCTATGAATTCCTACTTCATCTTTCTACCTGCCCTTCTTCTTGTTGTTCGAAGGTATGTAGTATTCACAAATCGGTAGCTATTTCACTGATTACTGGTTATATTTAGCAATAGCTTATCACCGCCTTTTGACTTCATTCCACATCTTCTCTGAAAGAAAAGAATTCAATTCTATATGAATTATTATTTTCAGGTCATCAGCAAGCTATGGAATAGAGGGTTTGAACGCAATTTTTTTGCTTTTTATTTGCCTATGCTAAATTGAGCCTTTCAGAGCCTACTATAGCTGTAGAGCCCGCACATGTCAACGCTCCTTTGTTACATGCTCATGTCGCTCCGGTAGCTCCAATAGTTTCCGTCGCCCCAGTAGCTCCAGTAGTCGCATCACTTCCTGCTGTTCCTGTGGCACCTACTTTGGACTATGCAGTATGGATTTTGTTCGAAAATACTCTTCAATGCTGCAACTTGTAAAATTTCTAGCAAAACATTTTTTCTCAATTTCAGTACGGTTACAACCACCCTTACTCTGAAGCTCATAATGTAGCTAAATCTTACGCCAAAGGTATGTGCCACCTGACATAATGAACTTAAAAAAAGCCTCTTTTTTTCCAGAAACGGGTCATGTCTTAGAAACAGCCATGGTTTCTGGACACGGACATCCGCATGGCTTGGAAATGCATGCTCCTCATCTTGCAAACTTCTTTAGCCTTGTAGGACCATGGCGACCACGTTTTCGTTATCATAAGACTGCTAAGAAGTTTATAAAGCACACAAAACTGTGAACAAAAAAAACCCGCCAAGTTTCTGCAGCCGCTCGGAAATATTCTGTAGTAATTGAAGTAATAAAGCGATATGTTTAGCAAAGTTTGCTTGCAAATCTATACCCTTCAATGCATGAAAAAGATAATAAAAAGAAACATCATTTATAACCAAAGAGATTTCACGAGTTAGCAAATGCAGAAAGCTTTACAACTGCTACAGTTCCTCGCTGTGCAACCAATTAGAACGCCTTTTACTTTGCTAATAGTTACAAACACTGGAACTCTTAATTTTGAAGCCCGAAGTCATACATAGCAGGTAAGTGAAGAATGTTTCGAAAAACTTTGTGTGAACAGAGCCCAAGGTATTTTCAAAGAGGTTAAAACCAAGTTGCTGTCGCCTTTTGCTTTAACTTGTAGTTTTAATCAGCATTTTGAGGAAGAAACTTAGGTACCTGTGATGTTTTCATGCAGCAAGCATGATGCTTGCAAGACACCTTCTTAAAGTTTTGCGCCCTCACCCGATTATCGTATAAATTCGTCGCTACGGCTATCCCTGCTCATTCGCAGATTATTCTTGGCGCACTGCTGAAGAAGGATTCCTAACCGTGCAGCCTCGGCACATTTCCAAAAAAGATGGAAACTGTCCATAGCTAAAAGGTATCATATTGCAGAAAGGATTGCAGTATGATTGATAATGCGCTGATCAAGGGTTGTGATAAATTTGATTTTCAATTTATGGTTTCCAAAGCAAAACTATCTTAAAAAATTGTGATTGCCTTAAAACGCTATATTCAAAGTTAAAAATAAGGTCTAGAAAGCAGAACTACTTGCAATGGCTCACAATGACTAGACAAGTAAAGTTTAAAGCAAAGATTTCCAGGAACAATCTAATATCAAAAATGAAGAGATATAAGTTATACATTTCAGTTATAAAGGTATTTGAGTGATTTTGGTTACTAAAATAAACGTCATAAAACTACTTAAACCAAATGCGAAAGATCGATATGGCTTTGATGTTAAAAAACAATTTTTATGAGCAAAACGATACACGCTTACGAGTTAAGTGTTGACCTGTGAAATACTTCTCTGTGCAGTTAATGAAATGTGTGAGATCTTTCTGAAGGTATCTTGAAAGACAATGAAAATATTGCAGCAGCTTCTTCAAATACTTCCGAAATTTAGGAAACACATTTGATTGGATCACAAAGGCTTGCTTGGATGAAAGCACAAGCTGCGTAGAATGTTTTTGATCCAAAAAAGGTTTATGTTTGCGAAATGGTTATTTGGGAGGCAGCAACACAGAGAATTTTGAATGGAAATTTTTTTTTGTTGTTCGAAGGTACGGTAGTTTAGTATTCACAATCTGCTATTTCACCAATAACATCATCAATTGTAATTTAGCAATGAACTTATCACCTTTGGCTTTATTTTTCATTATCTCTGAAAGAACTTAGTCATTTGTTTTTGTCGTTCCTCAACCTGTTTAGCATTTGACTTTGTAGTGCATATTGGCGATTGAAAGAATTTACTAAACTGTGCGCAAAGTCTCCCTTTCTCAGAAGTTTGAATTCTAACAGTAAAGAAAGGAGGTATAAGGGAAAGAGAGAAAAACTGAGAAAAACCGTAACGTGCTCCAAACGTCGGGTTTGATGACTGTGTTCAAATAAAAACAGCTTGCAACACCTAGCAATGCTATAAAAGACGATCTAAAATGCAAAAACGTCGTTAGCACATAAAATCCTTCTAATTGCTTTTGACAGTACTTATAATGCAATACACAGCTTGTTTAGAGGAAATAAGAACCAAGTGTTATCTCAAAAGAAAATATGTGCGTTTGTTTGATTCCACTAATACAACACAAAACACCAAAAGGACATCAAATCCTCTCCCTAATGATGCTAGCTTTTTCTTCTTGACGGATCTTCGGCAAACATACGGGAAGAAAGTTTTTATCTTCTAGTTGCATGTCCGTATAAAATGATTTCGATCAAGTTGTTTTAGAAGAGCCCACTGTTGATGTGGATCCAGAACACATTCACCTTCCCGTAGCACACACACGCTCACCTTGCTCCCCTCCAGCAGTTCCTGTTTCTCCAGTTGCACCTGTGGCATCTGCTGTTGCTCTCCCAGAAGATCCTGCGCTGGACTACTCATTATGTCGACACGGATCACGTTTGAGGTAGTCGGATTTTGATTACACTTTCCACTTTTCACAAAAAAAATTTTTACGGT